GAGGAGAATCTGTTTGGCCAGTGGAGCCATTTCACATACATTTGTTTATTTCGTCCGTTGCCTCTTGTTTTCAGGACCTTTTCAATTTTCCACATATCATTGTCTTTGATATCAACTTTCTGTAGTTCGGATTGATAAAATGAACCCTTTATCTCCTCATCGTTGTAGTCTTTCAGTATGTAAACAGGCACGGATTGTCTCCTGAATCGTTTAGCAACAGTAAATATTTCACCGGTCCACCTTTCATCGTACTCGCGTGTAAATATGTTCCTCAAATGTGTGATACGCACTCGGTCTCCGATTTTTAATTTGAATCTCCAGTTCTGTCTTTGATGTTCCTTATACCTACTCAAATGTGTAGCCACACGCACTGTCTCAGCTGTATCCATAGTCACATCAGTTGGTGCCATGTCGATGGTTCTATGTATTGTTTGGTTGTAACCGTCGACGAAACTCCGTAACTTGTCAATGTATGATTGTTTGTAAGTAAAGTACCTGTACATCTTCGTCTTTATAGTCTTCAATACGCGTTCACTGATGCTGGCTTTAACCTCGTTTTGTGCATACATATGCCTAATGTTATATTCACGAAACAGAGACTGGACAACCTTCGCTTTGAATTCTTGACCTTTGTCCGTTCGTATCCTGTTGGGCGTTCGTCCCTCTGCCAATATACTTCTAAATCCAGCGACTACAGAGTTACCTGTATTGTCCTTCATACTTCTCAGCCACAGAAACTTCCAGAATACATCGATGACAACCAGTACGTAGGTTTATCCGTCGTTGTATTTTGAAACTTTGACCATGTCCATGAGGTCAGCCGACCACTGGTCATCTATTCCTGCGACGTGTATGTGGGTTCTGTGTACTGGTCTCCTGTTTGGTCGTTGTAAGCTGTAAGTTTCTTGTCGCTGAAGCCATTTTCTGATCTTGTATTTGCTAATGTCATATTTTCCTTCTTTCGTGACAAATTGATACAGTTTGTCTGGTCCTGACAGACTCGCAGGCTTAGCAGGATCGAAATAAATGCCATTTAAATACTCTTCCCAGGCCGGCATGATGTGTACTGCTCGGACGTTTCTACACTTATGGCATAATTCGTAGGCATGCCTTGCTTTTATTCGTCCTCATTTTCATTTGTGTCTTCCGTATCGCTTTCCTCGTCAGATTCGAATTCATCAGCATCAGCATCTGATACATCATCATTTTCATACATACACTCCTTAAAATGGTGTTTGTTTTTCGAAAGAGACATTCGTACATCAGCAAGGTTTTCATAACCATTTCGTCTGTACTTCTATTATTTCCGTGTGCAGTTTTCCACCTTTTAGTTGAAGGAGTGTCTGCCCATATTGATTAAAGAATTCCATGAGATTTTCCTGTTCCATCTTTGTATCTACCTTACTCTCAGCCTCTTTCTTCGAAAGTCCGTTTTCTTTGTATTTTTCTACCCTTTCACTCCATTTATCTTTGTTTTTGGCTTTAGCCCGGTTACACATCATTTTGAAGTATTTGTCCTCTTCCGAATCTTTCTCCTCCTCAATTTTATCGAAAATATTGGAGTCATCATCATCAAAGATATTAGACTTATGCTTCTTGACTTGAAATTTTACTTCGTCCTCATCGTCACCCAAATTTCTTTTAAGTGTACCGTTTTCAGGACACCATCGCTTTACGTGCCTCTGTAAATCATGTATGTTCTCAAACATCAGACAGCAATCGTCACAGGAATGCATGTCTAAGGGCTCTGCTTCCGTTGCAGCGGTATTGTTGTATGCGGTTTCTTCGTGGTCGATTTGTTCAGGGTTCTTACTCTCCTGGAGCTCCTTGGGGCACGTCTGTCCTGTTGAATTGCTTTCAACTAAATGAGGTGTGGTGGCTCCTTTTCGCCCACTTATAGGCTGTGTCGTGACTTTTGGTTCGTCATCTAATACGCCAGTGCGCAGGCGCAGATGTTCCAAAGTTGTAGGCTTTAAATCCACGAGCAAATAACCATACGGTATGCTCGTAGCCTGTTCGAAGTGGTGCATAAAATGTTGAGCTTTATTGGGGTACATCTGTCGTGCCAGCGTCATGATTTGTTGTCTGTCTATGGGATTGTTAAATACCGTTAAATAATGACAATTCCGTCTCTGTGTTGGATCCTTACTGTAGTAGAGGTTTTGATTTATAGCGATAACCGACAAGTTCCGATGATGGCTTCCTTCCGTAAACAAGTCGCTTATTCGCCGGTCTTTTGCAGCAATGGACATGAGGTCGTCCAAAACAATGACGTTATTCACGTTTGGATCTAGAAACTGATCATTCTCGAGGTTTAACGATACTCCTTGTATGAATTCCACTTCGGGTCTGACGGTCGTTCTGATGACGTCATACAGAGGCTGCCATCTTTTGAACAGCCATATAATCCTTTCGGGCGGTGGACTCAGTTTAGTGATGTTGTCTTGTAATAGTTTTGTCACGAAATACGTCTTGCCACAAGAGGTCGGTCCCGACACAATCATCGTAAAGGGATGTTTAAAACAGAACCCTTCAGAATATTCAGAGCCTTTACAGTCTGTCGCTGTCTCAGCTCCCGGCATTTCATGCGCTCCTCCCGGTGCTCCATGCGCTCTTTCTGGTGCTCCATGCGCTCCATGAGCTCTTTCTGGCACGCATTGCGCTCCGTGCGCTCTTTCTGGCGCGCATTGCGCTCCATGCGCACTTTCTGGCGCGCATTTCGCTCCATGCGCTCCTCCAAGTGCTTCATAGCATGGCGCTCTTTCCAGAGCTCCATGCGCTCGTTCATTCGCTCCAGACGCTCCTGGAGTTCCATGCACTCCCAGTGTTTTGTACGTTTCTGAGTGACATTTCTTTATATGCCTGTGTAGGTTGCATCGACTACAAAATGCCTTCTGACACCTCGAGCACGCAATACCATACATCTTTACACTTCTACAGTCAGAGTAATAATGATGTGATCTTAAATGTAAATACATTTTATAAAGTTAAACGAAATGCATTTTGGGTAATTTCAATTGCATTGTGGGAATTATGATATCTTAATATTTTCAGGTGATCCAGGATTGGCGCTCAGTACCAGAAAATCTATCCCGGCAGTAAGATGGGGTATGACTGTAAGCAGTGTGGAGCATCGTTTTCCAAATCCAGCTTACTACAAGAGCACAAAAGAGTCCGAGGCCATGTTGATCAATTTAAATGCACTGTCTGTGGAAAATCCTTTGGACGTCAGGATAACGACGACAGACATATTTTACGACATGCCGATGCTTCTTTATTTCAATGTGGTGATTGTGGAATGTTATTTAGTAGAGGGGATAATCCACAGCGTCACCAGGAACAGAAACACAGTCAGTCTGGAGGAGGTGTTAAGCGGCCTGCTGATACAGAAAATATAGATCCAACCCCAATAAAGAAAACAGCCAAGAAGACAGACGAACTCTATGAACTTCGTGTCGTTAAAGAGACTAACATACCTAAATTTCAGACAACAGCAACACACTACAGGGTAACTTTTAAAGATTTGGAAGTACACGGTATTGCAGACATTTTAAAAACAATGAAGAATTTTTTTCAGTCACTCATCGACAATGTTACGGAATTCATGGAGAAAAACGATTTGGTTCGATTATCCGTCGAATGCCCCGAACTTGACTTTCCAATCACGCTATCTTTCATGAAGGTATCGGCTTTGACCGCAGAGAGGCTACTATCAGAGATCGAGCGCGTGTTACAATCCTATGAACAATTCGTCCTTGATCAAACTCTCGAAGTCGAATTGGTTCATGTACATCTGCCCAAAGGTGGTGTAGGGAAGCGCTGTCATTTTGTTGATTTGGACAAAATGATGAAAAGTAAAAGATGTTTCATTCGAATCCAGAACAACGACCATCTTTGTTGTGCTAGAGCTCTCGTGACCGCAAAAGCACGACACGAGAAGCATCCAAAATGGCAAGGAATACGACATGGTGGAAAGATACAAGAAACGTTGGCCAGAGAGCTCCATACAAAAGCAGGAGTGCCGCTACAGAAGTGTGGAATCGAAGAAATTAAACTATTCCAAGACGTCGTGGACGGATATCAGCTGATTGTTCTTTCCAAGGAACATTTTAACGCCATCGTGTTTGCTGGACTCGAACGCGAAAAACAACTATACCTGTACCATCATGACGACCATTACGATGTAGTCACAAGCATGCCAGCTTTTTTGAATAAGAACTATTATTGCACTCAATGCAAAAGGGGATATGATCACAAGGAAAAACACAAATGCAATGATCCCTGTGTTTATTGCCATCACATTCATCCCGAGGATGTAGAGTCTTGGAAATACTGCGCCGAATGCAACATATATTTTAAGAATATTCTGTGTTTCGATAGTCACAAAAAGCCATCTATATCGGGAAAAACAACTTGCGGCTCGTACAATTGATGCAAGGCCTGTGATCAAGCCATCAACGTTGACATGCATAAGAAGGCACACGTTTGTGGTGAACACTACTGTAAGACGTGCAAGGATTACTTTGCCGATTATCATAAATGCTACATGCAGACGGTTGTAGCAGACGAACGATCGCGAAAACAACATGATGGAACCGAGCAATTCAATAAGTATATATTTTTCGACTTTGAATGTACTCAAGACGACATCATGCGAGAATGGCTACAAACCAGGAGCTGGCAAGCGATGTATCAACTGTAAAATGTCCCGGTGTGGTTCATTGAGACATCAACCTAATCTGTGTGTGGTCCATAAAACGTGTGATGCCTGCATGAACCATGCTCTCACATCTTCAAGTACATGTGACAACTGTGGGCCAAACGAAAAGACTTTCAGAGGTCCCGAGACGACAAATGCGTTTTGAAAATGGTTGTTTTCGGAGGAGAACTACGATGCCAAGGTCTTGTGTCATAATTTTAAAGGTTATGACAGTTACCCTATCCTCGGGTACCTATACGAGAATGGGATACTGCCAGAGGTTGTCATCAGTGGGTCTAAATACCTGAGTATTGACGTACCACAATGCCACATTCGATTCATGGACAGCATCAACTTCTTACCTATGGCTTTAGCGGACTTGCCAGAATCGTTTGGAATAGAAGAAGAATCCAAAGGGTACTTTCCTCATTTTTTTAATCGCAAAGAAAATCAAGGAATTTGCCTGCCACATCTACCGGACATAAAATATTATCACCCGGACGGCATGAAGCCAAAAAGAAGAAAATCGTTCCTGGAGTGGTATGAAATACACAAAGACGAACCCTTCAAATTCCAAGAAGAGCTTCTAAAGTATTGTCGATCAGACGTAGACATTCTCCGGAAGTGCTGCTTAAAGTTTCGGGAAATGTTTATACAAATGACGAATAAAGACGGCAGCGGCGGAATCAACCCATTTCAAAATTGCATCACCATAGCATCCGCCTGCAATCTTGTCTACAGAACAATGTTTTTAGAGTCCGAAAGCATTGGTATCATTCCACCACATGGCTACAGACCGGAGGATAAACAATCGATCAAAGCAATGAAATGGTTGAAATTCATCGCAAGTTCTGAGGGTCTTAGAATCCAACATGCCGCCAATGACGGAGAGAAACATATAGGGTCTTACAAAGTCGATGGGTATATCACAAATGAAGGAGAAAAGGACACTATCTTGGAATTCCACGGGTGTTTCTGGCACGGTTGTACGAAATGTTATGCCCGTAACACGATCAACACCGTAACCGATTGTACCATGGCCGATCTCCACATGAGAACGTTGGACAAGCAACGTTATCTACAAGATCTAGGATGTAACTACAGATGCATGTGGGAATGCGACTTTGAAAGACAAAGTAAGCTTGATGAACCACTCAGGTCATTTTTGAACACACTAGACATCGAAGAACCTCTAGAACCAAGAGACGCTTTCTATGGAGGAAGAACAGAAGCATTTACGATGTATGCCGAAGCCTCCGAAGACCGGCAGATTAAGTACTATGACGTGACATCCCTCTATCCTTATATTAACAAGGTCGGGAAAGTTCCCCTCGGCCATCCTAAAATCATCACGGAAAACTTTGACAACATTGAAGAATACGAAGGGTTGATCCTATGCAAGATGTCGCCACCAAGAGATTTATTCGTACCCGTTCTTCCCTTCCGAACCAATGGGAAATTGTTGTTTCCGTTATGCCGCACGTGCGCTAAGGAATCGTCAAAAGAAAAGTGTAGTCATGGCGACAACGGAAGGGCCATCACTGGCACGTGGGTGACTGACGAAGTGAAGACAGCCATCAGGAAAGGATACCGCTTGTTAGAGACATATGAAGTATGGCATTTCGAAAACATTTCACAATACGACACTGTGTCAAAAACTGGGGGTGTATTCACTGATTATGTCAACACCTTCTTGAAGTTAAAACAGGAAGCTAGTGGGTGGCCAAAATAGTGTCAAACTGAGCACGATAAACAGAAATACGTCAAGGACTACTACGACAGAGAAGGGATACTTCTGGACAGGGAAAACATCAAGAAAAATCCCGGACTGAAAAAACTGGCCAAGCTCATGCTTAACAGGTATACAAATCATTTTTTTTTCTTCTTTTAGTTATTTATGATTAAATATAAGTGTATTCTAGTAATTTAAAATGTGTACAAAAACATGTAATCTTGCTTAGAAGTTTTATCTATTTTACATTTTCATCATTTATCATTTGTTTGTTTTTTTTGTTAATATTTGATCACTTTTCTGCATGAAATGAAACAAGGAATAATACATTTGACGCATATGTATTTTGTATTGCAGTTTCTGGGGTAAATTTGGTCAGCGAACAAACTTGATCCAGTCATCTTATATTTCGGATCCGTGCGAGTACTTTGACATGATGTCAAGTGATAGTCAAATTGTGAAAGATGTCAACATCGTATCAGATCAGATGGTGAGGATGGACTGGAATTACAACAGCGATTTTCTGACAGCTTCTGGCCGCACCAATGCTGTGGTCGCCGCCTACACAACGGCACAGGCAAGACTCAAACTGTATAGCTACCTGGAAACACTGGACCGACGGGCCCTTTACTGTGACACAGATTCGGTGGTATTTACGGTCGAACCTGGGCAATGGGAGCCCGAGCTCGGAGACAATCTTGGTGATCTCACTGATGAGGTTGAAGGATCAAGCATTGTGACCTTTGTCACTGGAGGTCCAAAAAACTACGCATATACTCTCTCAAAACCAAACAGAGATGGTGAAATGAGTTGCTGCAAGGTTCGGGGGATAACTCTGAATTATAAAAACTCCCTAGAAATCAATCATGAAACAGTGAAAGATATGGTTTGTGGAAAGAAGGAAAAGGTCACGGTGTGTGATGATCTTAAAATTTGCCGTGACAAACAATCATGTAACCTCTTAACAAAAATAGAAACCAAAGACTATAAAATTGTGTTTGACAAGCGCGTCATTTCAGACAAGTATGTCACTCTTCCATATGGAATGTAAAAATATACTTACAGGTAGAAAACGTTAATTCCACAAAACACCATGTAGACCTTTCATGACACCCGAATTCAACTTACGTAGCAATTGTTTTTATATGATATTGTACCAGTTCTATTGATTGACTATCTATTCATACTTAATTCACATGTACATATATGTATAAGTAGACACGCATGAATAATTTTATAATGTGTATAACCTGTATAATTGTTGTGTATATGTATGTTTGATATTCCTGGTTTTTTTTATTTTTATGTTGTGAAATGAAAATTCTTTTAACTCATTGATGTATTACTTATAATTAAAGTAGTAATTAACCAGCATGTTGTCAGTCATTGTTTTTTTCATGAACATTCTTGTTAATGAAGTAGATCACCAACATTTGCAGTCTAAGACTTCGGGGATATGATACGTATAATGGCCTGGTTATTATATCATACATTGTTATGACTACATGGTGACATTGTCCCTAAATATGATATACAATGTCACAATAGTACACCGAGCGTGTAAATAAAAGGATTTAAAAAGTCGATCACATACAACGTCTCCACAATGAATTCTTTTCAATATCTATCACCCGGAACAGGTGTGTTCCTTTACAATGGACCTTTAAATTTCAAACAATCACCCAGCATTACAATTGACCCATAATCAATATTGTCATATCAAAACCTATCACTTCCGGTTTCCCTCCTCCCAACAAAATGGCGGCCATACAAAGACTAAGAAGGAAAAAAATTACCTATACGTATGTCCTAGACTACTGCCAACGTTTGTTGTAATATCTTATGTCGCCGTAGGCAACTGTTGGAAGGCCAAATTCGGACTATAGCAGCATGCTGTATGTGTTTATCGACACGAAAATACTCTAACGATAATATTTTTAATTGTACACCAAGGACCATGTGAACAAGTTAAAGGATCATAATAGCTTTTACTAGCTTTTATGATTACTCTTAGTTCTTACTAAAGAGTGGACATCGGCAAGGTGTGAATAGGTATGTGCGGTTATCTTAATACATACAATTTGATGTTTTACATATGTATTCTGATGTGTGACACTTTAATTAACATAATTATGAGATGCGCCTCTCTACTTGTCAAATTCTTTCCAGTTTTTATCTTTTAAAATTATTTTGTTCAAGATTAATTCAGCGCGAATGCCAGCATTGTATTTTGTTATTTCATTGTTTACGTCGTGGTAACTTCAAAGGTTATATAATTAATATATAATGAAAAGGTATTTTTACACAACCAATAAGAGTTTCTATGTGACGTTTAGATGACTAGTACGATATGTACACTGTTACCTTCATCAGACAAATGGCCAGTGAAGCGTATGCACACAAAGATGTACAATGTGTACGAGTTGTCAACAATAAGACCCTAAATGCCCTATCGACATACTACTTTTATTTACAATTTTCGAATATTTTAATATTAAAGATATTAATATTTGTTTTGAAAAATCAGAATATAGTTAAAATCACTACATGTGTCGTATGTACTTGTTCAATGAATAGAACAGCCATCGTCCATGAACAGTCAGTGGTACCAAACATCACAATATTAACGTCATAATAACGATGACGTCAATACGTGGGCCATGGCATTTAGAGTCCCTGTGAATGCCATCGAAAATTCGTAGGTCTATATGTTGGTTGTACCATCGAGTGGTAAATATACCAAGAATCCTATTAAATATTTAAAATTGTTACCAGAGTAACTAGATACGGTTATACTTACAGATAAGAAGCCCCAATAAGGAAAGTATGAAGCACGCATGATTACTCGGCACGCTGGCCATGATGCGATGCAGTGTTATCCAAGTAGTGGGACACGTTACATGTGTAACAGGAGAGCGACTCTCCTAAAATACTCTGTCAGACATGTATCAGAGTACATCGCCCAGCGACATGTTCATGCTTGTGATGTTGGTATTGATCCATGCGACTTCCTTACTTATATATAAAAAAGCATTGTTATTTAGATCAGGTACAGCTTGGTAAGACCCGAGTAATTTTATCAACTTTGTACGCTCAGTTTTCAATTTTAAACGTTCCGAACAAAATTGTCAATTAGTTCTCAGTAATGACTGATGATGTTACACACGAGTTGTTTTCTGTGAACATGAAACATTTCCTGTTTCAATCTAATACCAATTATCCCAAGCACTCACAATTTTAATAACATTTGCAATGTGTTGAGCTGTCTAGGGCGTACAGGTTCTGTAATTTAACCTTTCAATGTAATTCAATACCACGAACCTTAAGCATCTACGTTATCCACTTAACTTGATGTTCCTAATATCGATGCGTCTAAGTATGTTTCGATAGTAATGGTCAAATACAATACCATGCATTTTACATTTAGGTAGCTAACGTAATATATGAATATATATATCAAGCAATTTAAAGGCCGCATTACCTGAAAATTCTACTTCATCATAAATTAAGGCTGTTGATTTTTGTCTCAATAATACCCATATCACACCAGGAATATCGGATAGCATAGTCATACAACCCCTTCACGTACACATATCACACCAGGTATATAGGATAACACAGTCATACAACTTCTACACGTACCCATATCACACCAGGAATATAAGATAACAGCCTTACAACTCCTACACGTACCCACACCACACAAGGAATATAGTATAACAGTGACATACAACCCCTACACGTACACATATCACACCAGGAATAAAGGATAGCACCGCCATACAACCCCTACATGTACACATAGCACACCAGAAATAAAGGATAGCACCGCCATACAACTCCTACACGTACCCAAACCACACAAGGAATATAGTATAACAGTGACATACAACCCCTACACGTACACATAGCACACCAGGAATAAAGGATAGCACCGCCATACAACCCCTACACGTACACATAGCACACCAGAAATAAAGGATAGCACCGCCATACAACCCCTACATGTACACATAGCACACCAGGAATAAAGGATAGCACCGCCATACAACTCCTACACGTACCCAAACCACACCAGGAATAAAGGATAACAGTGACATACAACCCGCACAAGTACACATATCACACCAGGAATATAGGATAACAGTGACATACAACCCGCACACGTACCATCATCACACCAGGAATATAAGATAACAGTGACATACAACCCGCACACGTACACATATCACACCAGGATTAAAGATAACAGTGACATACAACCCGCACAAGTACACATATCACACCAGGAATATATTATTTCAGTGCCATAGCTAACTGTTTTACTGGGGAACTGAAAAACGTATTCATAGCGAACTATGTTATTGTGAAGCTACAATCACTACTAGAAATAAGTGGCAAAGAAGTGTGTATTTAACAATGTATTTTGGAAATTCAAAACAACCAACAAAATAAACAGTCTGCTGCTCCATAGTTCTATTTCGTCCTTTTTAGGACTCGTCAGTGACATTAAACGTCAAAACGATGACTGGTCATGTCTGTAGTGTTCCAAAATATATGTAGATCTACAGCAGAGGTGAAAGGTGCATTAAAACAGTTCCTATTTTTGCGTTTACAACTTTCGTGTCAACAACAACAAAAATCTGAATATAGTGTTTCTAGTACACCAGGCCAGACTAAAGTTACGGCCAACCTCGAGGACTGATGGTCCATCAGCAGAGTACGGCCTACCGCGAGGATTGTCCACCAGTGGAATCAGCAAACTTGTTCAGCTATAACAAGAAATACGCACGAATGTGCGTCCATTCACACCAGTAAATATAAACTGCACTACATGGCGATTTTATCGTTTTATGACTCATTGGTAGTCTAAAAGGTCAACATAAAAATGTCTAAAGTGTTTTGAAAACTATGTAGAATTAAAGCGAAAGTGAGAAGTTGTTTACGGATATCTATCGTATCGTTAAGCTTTTATAGTAAACGTATGAGCATTCGGGAAATGGTCAATTCATTCTCAGTCTACAAGATTAAAAGTTACAGCTTACTTATCATGACTCTTAATCATATTTATAGCTAAAAAAAGTCATTCAGCTCTTTCTGAAATTTAATAGCATATTTTGGGCCAGATTTAGTTAGGGCACATTGCACACCTCTTAAAATTGTCATTTAAATCATAAAAGCTCACACTTTTGTCATAATTAAACAACATAACAGTTAGAACCTTATAAATATAAGGTGCATTAGTGCATACAATGAAGTGTGTCTGTGATAAAAAATGGCTATCGATTTAGCAGGCCTTATTTGAAGGTTACCTCAAACGACACATCCGTACAAGGTACGACTATATTATGTTTCTAATCAATGATGAAAATACTTTTTCATCTGTGATAGTCATGTAAATTTGGCCTATATTTTTGTTGTGCTATCTTTGATTAAAAGTGTTTCATACTCAAGGAGAGCTTTCTTAAAGAACTGAACAAGTAACACATTGACACCATTTAACACAAAAATTGATTCCAAAGCGTCAGTGTAGAGAGCTTTCAAAGAAAGGCTGTAGCGGCGCGCAATGATAAAATCTGACAAGTCACGAGTGCTAAGGTACCGGAACCTGTATAGGAATAGCTACGGTCCATTTCAGTTTCAACTATGATTATAAATACTTGTTAACTGTGCATCGCATCTTTCATTATTATACGTTGCACCTGTGGTGTAAGAAACATTTACCTTATAGGAATACTTGGGCTTGTGTCTTTGATTTTTTAGTGAGTGGGTCTTTTATTTAGGAAGGGGTTCAAGATATTCTTTCTTTTAGTTTACGTTAAGGACTCCTTAGATTTCAATGTCTGCTATCAATGACTATTGGTTTATTTTGTCTTAAATATTGTTTAAGTCAGCTGGTTGTTGATGGTCTGTTACTAGCATTTAGACAGAACATGTTACTCTGTTCGAGTTGTTAGACGAGAGGCTTTTCTGAATTCATGACATCATTATATGATCCTCCATTGTGTCAAAGAAATGATTTCTTAGTTTAAGGTTGGTGTCTCTTCAGATTCTATTTCTAATTCTACCATCGATTGAGATGTTACCATGCGCGTGCATTCATTATTTTCTGACAGAACAAAGCTCTTCCAAACATCTTCCAACATGATTATCATTAAAAAGGCAGACTACGGTAAACATAACATGACAGTAATGTGTTACGTCTGGTAAAGTCGGAGAAGCTTCATTTCCACCTCCTGTGCGAGGACGACAGCATTATCTGATTTCTGTGAAAAGTCGCCACATCGTGGCCTTTTGTTAGGCAGTC